TATATATCTCAACACAGTTTTTCACTGAGGTGACTTTAGAATAACATGTAATTACAAATACATTATTTCTCTTTCTGCTCATAGGCATCCTGCTTCTGCTTGGAAAATCAAGATGATATTTAAATAGTTTCTCAACATTTGACCTTAATTTGAAAACACGTTTGATTTATTTCTGTGGTGGAAAAGAATACATCCTGTTTTTGACCAGTCATGAAAACGCTTGACCATTCCATACCGAGAAAAGACGACAAGTCACATTGATGAACTGAACTAATCAAGCATGAAAATAAGTTAGATCCACTTCTGAAAATGTTGCTGGAGTTTTTACTCTGTTGTCCTTTAATCTTTCATGAAGATAGTTATTTGAAATGGTGAGAAGTTGGAATCAGAGGAACTGCTGGACATCGTACATCCTGCCAGCCTCAGAGGAAACTCTGAGCCCAGGCAGAAGAGCTGATGAACGTTTGAGCCAAAAGCTCCCAGAACCTGACGCAGAAGCCAAGAGCTGCTTTTCAAAAATGAAACATTTGGCCAAACTGGAGGAACTTTTCCTGTCCTGTCATGAAGCTGATTTCTGGCACTAAAACTCCTCTTTTGAATTTGTCCAAGCTTTGAATAAATTCCTGTGCCAGTATTTGGAAATGGAAAAATGTGTGTAAACCAGGAGTTTACCCTGTCAGAGACCATTTAATGAAGTTGAATGTTTATTAGCTAAAGGAAATCTAAGTATTAATTGCTTTCTGCTTTTATTCATAATCTCTGAAATATCAACCCTCACATTCCTGAGCTGTAGATAAACCCATAAGAGGCCAGCAGTTAATGTGGAAGGAGCTGCTTTGTGTTTTGATCTTGTTCATTTATGTTCATTAGATCTTGTCACATTCAGGTTTTTTATTGTCATTTTGTCTAGTATAGTGTTTAGTTCATTCCTTTATCTTCCTTTCCTAAGCATATTCAGATGTTTGTGTTTAGATTCAGTTCCTTTAGCTCTGCGCTGCTCCGACCCCCGTGGTTCATCCTCTCAGTCTCAGTTCAGCTCTCGTTGGTTTGATCTGCTCCCACAGCTGTTCCACATCTCCTCCAGCTGATTCCTTTGTCCTTTTCTGTCCTCATCCTGTAGAAAATCTCCCTGGTTTTCACTGTTCATTGCTGGAGTCCTCCATCATTCCCTAACCTGTGATTCTCCTCTGGGTTTTCCTTTCATTTCATTATTGAAGAAACTCTTTCTGCTCTTGGGTTCCTTTGCAAAACCCCAACAGCTCTGTGCTCCATCAGTCATAATAAAAACAAATCTGTGCATTATGGATAAAGTTCACACATCTGCAGTCCTTTATTGTACGTAAAGTATACAAACAGCAAAACACAGTTCTCAAGGCCTGACATGCTTACTCATAGAAAAATCTTTTCTCACAAATGAAACCGGCATGCCATAAACCATTTTTAAACACTTCTTCATACATATAATCATCATAAAGTACTTTTAAATTATTCTTTAATATGTTTTAGATACTTTTATCCTTTCATTGTAGAGGCAATGCAACTGAAAGAGAAACCACAGCATACACTGCTAAAAACACTGGTAGCATATAATGTAAAATAAAGATTCTTTTGTTCGTTCTTTGTAGAAAATGACTGATTTTACATGTCAAAATGACACATCCAACATCTCCAACAAGTGACACACACTGCTACAAAAGTATCTATAGCACCAAATTAAAGCTGAACATAGAATTGATCATAAATGATAGAATCAAATTATTTGAAATGAGACAAACAGATTGAATCCCTTTTTTTCTCAGCGATAAATAAATACTGCGTCATCTAAACCCCCAAACTAAAAGTCCACATTTTAGACTGAAGTGTCTGTGGCAGAACGTTTCAGGTGGAGATGTCCTCTGAAGGAACAGATCTTCAGATCTCCAGGCTGAAGTTGGTAAAAGTGCCATCGAAGTCACATGAGTTCTCTCAGAGTCGAGCACCTTTCACATTCTGCTCTTCCTCCTGCGTTAGGTTTCATTTTGTAAATTGCATCAGAGTGGAAACCCTTTCTGCACACACACAGTCGCAGCTAAAAGCTGCCAGTGGATTGCATACGTGATAGAGGCTTAATAGGAGCAGACCTTAATGTAGTAAAAGGTTCATGGAATCATTTAAACAGGCACGCTTGTTTTGACTCACACTTCACCATCAATCTGTCCCAAATTACAGTTAAAGGGCAAATATTATCATATTCTCGAGGCCCAAACCCATAAATATTGAAAGCATGAGATGTGAATAAATCATAATCATTTCTTTTCAAATTAGATAAGTCATTTTAAAAGCACCCACAGACGACAAATCACACAAGAAGTAAAGACGATCATGAATGATGACATGTCATGTAGAGCTGCAGTCCCTTCTGGGCCTGCAGATAAAACTGGAACTGTTTTAATAAAGAGCTGAAAGCAGCAGCTCATTGCAGCCAGACATCAAAAGATGGAGTGAGGGTCCAAACCTTCCCCAAGAAACCCGTTGTGCATTTTTCACATGTATCCATAAAAAGTCTCTGATAACCTCGAGTTGGTCCAAAACTCTTAATTAGAAGCAGCAGAAGCGCTAGCATCACTCCGTGGTGTGTGTGTGGGTGTGTGTGTGTGTGTGTGTGTGTGTGACTCCTAGCATCACTCCGTGGTGTGTGTGACTCCTAGCATCACTCCGTAGTGTGTGTGTGTGTGTGTGTGTGTGGCTCCTAGCATCACTCCGTGGTGTGTGTGTGTGTGGGTGTGTGTGGGTGTGTGTGTGTGCCTCCTGCCCTCAGGTTCTCAAACCAAACTCTGCAGACACAAAACTCAACAAGAGCTCAGCTGCCTCACTGTTGCACCTCCACTCTGGGAAAAGCGTCCTTATTTTCTACATAAACTTGAAAGCCTTATTTATTTTAAAGACATTTTCCCTCAAGCTTCCTTTTTTCTAAGAATTTTTTAGATTTTGTACACATGTAGTTATCAGCTTAAAAACTGTAAAAGGTGTTTGAAAACTGAAGGTTAAGCTGCTACAACCAACGAAAAACAATAGTGTTTGATTACATGTCTGCATGTAGACAGCAGGTCGCTTCAGCTGCAGCATGTTGGTGAGGTAGAAATGGAGAAAAGAACGAACGCTAGCAGCCCGGAGACAAACTTTGACTCAGTTATTTATAGTTTTTATCTCACATTATGACAAATGCGTTGAAAATATTTTTTTCCAGCAAGTTAATCTAAAGCTGTTGAACTGCCAGATTAATTAGCATTTATATATTTCAACTTTGATAACACAAATTGATTATTTTTTTTAGATTTGAGGAGTTCAGGAAGCCCAGGTTGCCTTGGCAGCTGCCTTCAGGTCATCTGCACATCCTGGCTTATTTCCTGATGCTCCTCAGGTTTGCTGTGGGAAAGATTTGCTGGCCACACCAGGGATCACAGTGATGCTACCGTAATGCAGCTATACTAAAACCTTTGGCAGTGTTGACAGGAGCTAAATCCTTCTTATAAATACAACTAGCTTCTCCATAAAGCTTGCCATCAGATGGGAACATGATGCTCTAAAATATCAATGTAAACCAACTTCCATCAACAATTTAACTTTTTCAGAAAAATTCTACAGATTGAGACACATCTATATGGAATGAATAACAACACAGGCGTTGCCTGTAATATGCAAATAGAAGTTTTTTTCAGATGTAGTTTGATATACCTGATAACATTTTATCTTATATCTGCAGTATTATGCCAAATTCTGATAAGACTTCTTTAGTTTTCATTGACAAATAAACATAACCGTCATAAACTGGTGCAATGATGGTTAAAAAAAAAAAAAAAACAATTATGCAAAAATATCTGTTGTGGTTTTCTGAGGCGAGTTCTGGGTCCAACTGGGTCAGAGGTGAACTAAGACTGCACCTTCCCATCAGTGTCACCGCAATGTCAAGAAACAGCCAGTAACCAAGGCAACAAAGTGATCCTTCATTTCTAACAGCCTCCAAGAGGCAACAAATTGGTTTGTAGATGATATGGACAAGTTGGGGAGGGGGCAGTAATCTTGTTAGATGCCATCTCTGTTGATAAAGCCTGCACCCCGAGGATGGAAAAAAAGCTTTAAATCTTTGGTGTCATCTTCCTTCAGCAAGCTTTCCGGATGTTAACAAATAATGGAGCAATAATGGATGAATAATACGTCAAAATCACCCGGCTTGTGCTTAAGGCTGGATCATCTATATGTGTGTGTGTGTGTGTGTGTGTAGAGGGGGGGCAGTGAGCTAAAAGCTATTTGCCAAGCTCTGGGAGTTAGCGAGCTGCCTCGCCAGCTCCTAATATCCTCATAAGCAGCCGAGGCTGACCTCACTTAATGAGGATTAATGCAGGATCAGATTGGAGTTTGTGCCTATCGAGACGCACTTCTGCGTGCCCACTCCCACCTGCTCGTAATTGATTGCACTCATTGAGGGTCCATGTCCCTGTGCAACCTCTGTGAACATGTGTTAAATGCTGCTTGTATGAAAAAGAAGATTCAGTTTAGACACAGAGAGAGATGGATAGAGAGAGAGAGAGAGAGAGAGAGAGAGAGAGAGAGAGAGAGTCAGATTGGGATAGGGAGAGATGGAAGATGGGTAATAAAAAGAGCGAGGATGTTCAGGTCATGTGAGCCCTGGAGAGCGGGAAGTAATGGAATATTGAACTTTATTTTGACGGGTACCACTGCCTCTCTGCAGATGTATCAGATCTATGTTTATCATTATGTTGCTATGGGCAACCAAGAATGATTAAAATCAGAGCAGGTTAGTTGAAAGTCCTTGGGTTTTAAAACAAAAACTCTGCTTTCCTGGTACTGCCATGTCACTTCTCAGTCTAGTCGTTAAAATCTGTCTGTGATGTAATTTTATGGTTTAGTTGCTGTGAATTCAGACTACCTCACTGATTGTTTACATCAAACCCTTCAACACCAAAAAAAATCAATCTAGTGCAGCATAAAACATTAAAACCCCGCCTCTCATTAGGCAAAGGTTTCTGCAGAAAGTGGAAATATTTGACTCATCGCTCACAGTCATAAACACGACGTTTCCCCAGGTTTCCAGCATGTTGTTCTCTCTGCTTTCTCAGAGGAGATGTTCCACATCCTGATTTTCCTCTCTTACATCTAAATATAAACTTTAACGGCTGCTGCACAAAAACAAGATAAAAAAATGTAGATGTCACCGAGACAAATTATCAACATTTGGAAATGGTTGAAGTGTTTTTTTTTTTTTTTTTTCGTCCAGTGGAATGTATATTAGAGCCAGTCATTGTCTAGGAATGGGGAGGTGGGTTTGGCGGCTTGGTGGGCGTTGAGGAGGCTGTCTCAGTGGGGGCCACTAGTCATACTGGCCCCTCGGTCAGGCCCTCCATGGGCAGAGTGGTGGCGTTGTCGACGGGCTGCGGGTTGTCCTGGGCCGGGGGGGGCGCCCTGCTGGCCGCAGCCAGGCTGGCGTAAGGCAGGTGGCAGTCCATGTGCAGGAAGGGGGGGTAGTGCTGGCGGTAGCTGATGTAAGCAAACAGCAACCCGATCACTCCTCCCACAAAGGCATCTGCAAAGACACACAAACACGTTTTAATGACACGGTTCTCAAACTGTGGCTCAGGTACCGCTGGTGGCGCCTTTAGAGATGCTGGTATTATGTGGGAGGTGATTACAGACACATTAGGTGTACGGAACACCAACAGACTCTAAAATTAGAACCCAGATCTGGGAATTAAATGAACCAATCTAAACTGTGTTTGGGTTTGAAAACCTGAGGGATTTCTTAATGGCCATGCTCTCTTTTCAGGCTAACAAGTGTTGGAATTACAAGCTAATAACAATGTTCAATGACCAGCCACATTATTAGGTACATCTGTCCAAAAGCTTGTTTACACAAAGAGCAAACCAGCCAATTTACATGGCAGCAACACAATGCATTTAGACAACCTGATGCAGTCAAAAAAGACTGGCTAAAATTGAACTGAGCATGGAGGCAGAGCCAGAAAACCAAACCTGATCTACAGGAAGTCATCTCACTGGTTGACAGAAAAGGTCTAAAAAAAGTAAGAATGTCCAGGTTGCAAAAGGTTCTGGACCAAAAGCTTTGCTGAAATCAGAAGTCTGAGGAGAATGAGCAGCCTGATTTAAATTTAGACCTTGTTTTTTTCACAAACAAGGTGGACAGACAACCGTTCCTAAATACCAAACACCTCAAACTATAAAGCAGCTGGGCTGCAGCAGCAGAAGAGCACAGTGAGCCTGTCAGTAAACTGAGGCTAAAATAACAGAAGGGTGTCAGCTTTGGGCAGAGCCAAAATGGAAAAATGTTTAATGAGTTTTGATTCAGAAGAAAGGGCCAGGATTTGGAGTAACTAACATGAAAGCTGCCTTGTGCCAACAGTTCAGACTGCTGCGCCTCAAATGACCTGAGAATATTTTCTTGGCAGCCTTTTAGGCCAAACTGTGAAAATTTCAAAGCCAGCTTTTTACCATATCTGGCCACTGAGTACCCATGTTAGGATGAAAACCTCCAGCAGGATAATCCACTGCAGTACAAAACCTCAGTCAGCTTCTTGACCATCACAGAGGATTCACTCTGTTTCTTACACCTTGTTGAATATATGCCACAAAGAATTAAATTCAATTGTGGAAAGGCTCCAGTTACATTATAGCAAGATCGGCCTAATTCACTGACTGGTGAATCTATTTATTTGCACTCACACAGAAATAAATACTGTGTATCTATTTGGAATGGGTGAAGCAAGTATTTATTTTTTTAACATGTTGAAAGGAAATAATTTCTCTTTGATATTCTCCTATTGCCATATATTTATTTTTCAATATTAAACATTTTTTCTTCTGCCATTCTGAATTATTTTTCCACCACAAACACAAAGGAGAAACATCCACAGAAAGTGAGAACAAATGCCTCAACATTGACCTGAGCAGCAGGCTACACTGGAGACGCTGCAGTGAAGCCGAATAAAAGGGACAGAGCAGGCTGCACTTCTTCACAACCCCTCAGTCCTTCAGTGTTTGCTGTAACAGGCTGCATGTCTTGCATAAGTCTGTTGTGGAGAGTGAAATTTCAGCATTAGAGCCGATGACCTGATGCCTTTGGAGACGATTCAGTAAAGGAGGATGACCACGAGCATCCTCTTCATCAAACTGTTATACTACCGAGTTTCTTCAGTCAGAGGCAACAGGAGCTGCATCTCCATTAATCAAAACTTTGTCAAATTTTCTGCTTAATGTCAGAAAAACACAATTTCGCGACTAAAATCACACTTGTATAAGTTTGTTCACACAATAAGTCGTTAAGCTGCACCATCGTCCTCCTACAACTTCCTGTCATCTTCTTCTTCATGGTTTATGCCAGTGGCAACGTCTGGTTGTTGATCATGTGACTCGTGATGCAAAATAAGTTTTTCCATTGCAATTTTGAGAAATTAACTAATTTTAATACAGACAAAAAAAAATCACTTCATCCCAGTGTAAAAACTCTATTAAAAAATGTGAGTATTTCGAAACTGGCTTGTTTCTATTAAGCAAATTTACTTTTACATTTTCAATTTGTGCAATTTTATGGGAAATGGAAACGATGACTTCTGCAGACAATCATCAGCATATTCAACAACTTTTAAAGAAATGTGTGTCATGATTTAAAACAACTTTCAGTTGGAATAATTCAAGTATTTTTGCATTAAACTGAAATTTAACTGTAGAAACATTTGCAGTAAAGCAGAAACTCGGTGGGATTTTGTGTTTATGTTCTATTCAGGAGCTTCATTACACCTAAACAGAACATCTGCTGACCCGACGCCACCGTTGCGTGTTGCCCTTAAATCCTATATGCAAAGCAGCCATATTGGATTTTCAGGATGTTATCTAAAATCTCCAACTCTTTTATTAAAAACCCATCTCCAGTTTACGCCTGTCTACATGATGGTACAAAACGCAGCATTATCTGCAGTGATCCTGGTTTGAAGGGATTCCCTTCCCCCTGTAGGAGGGTGGTGATAAATAACACCTGCAGTCGTGGAATGGGCCTGGTTAATTAGGCATTGCTGTATGGGCTGCAATGTTTCAGTGAACATCCATCACCGCTGCCGAGTTTAGAGGTTGATGGAAGCAACATGAAAGGCAGAGCCATGAATCGTTGAGCTGGCTCACTCACCTCGGGCCGGGCCATCTCTGGTACTCTGTCAGAGGCTGAGCAGGTCTGTATTACAGCTGACCCCATTTTAACTATCATACATCACAAAATATAGCACTGCTGTAATGAATATTAAGCAGATATTGCTGAAAATAGATCAAACTTGAACTAAGCTTCCCTAATATCTGCACTGTAAAACAGAAGTTGAATGAAACATAAAACTGCATCACCTTCCAGTAATAAGGATCTGCAGAGCGGATGAGCCGGTGGCCTGGACGTTCTTCTGATTCCTGTCAACTGAATTTACCAGACTGTGACTTGATTTAATAGATTAGTTTAGTGATGGTGAGAGTATTAATATTCATCAAGCACAGTGTAGCATCTGGGCTAATGGGAGCTCCCAGCTTGTGTTTACACTGGCAGCAGATTGGGGACCCTCAAATTTAATGGACTGCTCTATTGCAGCTTTCTTCCAGCCGACGGAGAGCGAGCAGGAGGGAAACGTAGATCCAGGGAGGATTCAGAAAATGATGGGCTTTCTTGTAAATGCTGGAATTGTGTTGTTTTGGTTATAAATAAATAAAGGCAGGTTGTAAAAAGAGCTGTTGGGTTTGCTGCCAAGAACATATGGCTTTCTAAAACTAATTAACACAATGTGATGGAGCTGTCATCATGTTATTTCTTTTCTATCTGAAACCCACACACCCATGCAGTTCTCCCTCCCAGTCCCCCTCAGGTCATTCTTTTAGTTTTCCAGGAGACACATTTAAAAAATTTAACGTTTTAAAACTTGTGCTGGTTTGTTCAGTTTTGTGAGGATTCCTCCTCATTTTTGGGGTTTGGATTATTTCCTTGTTTATATTTTTATGTCTCACCATACTCTCTTCATGTCTCCTATTTTTGGTGATAATTTTTGGTAATGTGTTGCCATTAGACTTAGATAATTCTCATGTTCGGCTCTTTTTGCTGTTACACTCCGTTCTGTTCCCTTCCCTCTCATTTTGTAGTTTCTCAGAGTTTTATTTCAGCTCCTTTATGTTAATTATTCATCTTTCTTCAGCTTGACAGTTCTCTCCCTCCCACAGCTGTCCCCAATCACCTGATTTCATCACCTGCATCTGATGCTCTTCTCCTGTCTTCCCTCAGTATTTACGTCCACAGGTTCTCATTGTCCTGGTTTCACTGCCCTCTCCTCTCCACTCCCTTTGCAAATTGTTCCTTTTGTTTATTACTAAATATTTGCTGTGACTGATATAATTTTAAATAACATTCCAGCTTACAGCGATGACTCTGTAAAGTCTAAACACAGACATAACGGCATTGTTGGTTGGACCTTGCCAGTGGTGTTTGTAGTCACACGTCCTGGACAGAGCAATCATCATGGCGCTGTAAAGAGGTAGAACCATGGCACAAAGACGCCAGCTGCGACCCCGGCCCCCATCTGTGAAGCACTGCAGCTTTCCGGCCAGGTAGAAGGAGGTAAACCCGAGTCCAGAGAACGCAACTGGAAGGCAGAAAGAGACGACGTCAAGCAGATCAACAGCTTTGTTCCAGAAAAGTTTAAAAAAAAGACCAAGTTTCAGGGTATTAGTAATGGAAAGTCATATGCCTGCAGGTGAAAGATATTTAAAAAAAAAACCTTTTAAAATGATTAAAGTGTTTTTTGTAACTGCAGGTAATTTAGCAGCAGGACAGAAGCAATCATGTTAGGTCCTAAACCAAGGCTGCAGGTTTCTAACTGAAGGTAATCAGTGTGCATACCAAATCACAAAATGATCTTAAAGACCGTGCCAAGCGCAAGATTTGTAAACATTTAATCAATTACATTGGCCAGCAGCTCACCGCTGCACATGGCAGCCAATACTGAGATTTCACAGCTCTGTGCTACATGAATGTGAACGGACAGCAGGCCTGAGCATTAAGCAACATCTGCTGGGAAGTAGAAGAGGAACAGCGGTGGTCTAATTGTGGGAATTAAAGGTTGAACAGTGGAACCATTTGAGTTTTTGCTGAAGCAAAGCGATTTGATGTTGCAGCAAAGCAAACAGCCGGCACATTTGTCACTCAACTAACAAGCTGGCCAGAACACATGACAGAACAAGAGCTCTGAGAAAACAGAGAGGAGAGCAGGGAAACAAAGTCTGACTGTCTCCAGGACTCTCCCTATTCAGAACAAATCATCCAGACCTCGATGTGATGAGGGATTTGTCTGATCTAAATAGTTTGATTCTTCTGTGAAACTAAGTTCCTTAACATAGTTAAAAGCCATTCAAATGTCAACCTCAAATGGCATGCTAAATTATTTATACTCAAACTTTGTTCAGTTTGTCACGAGTCATGAAGGCCAAACTGGAAACTTAGAAAATGTTTGGTGAAACACGACCAAAATGAAACTTTTTAACATCACTGCAACATGCTAATCATGATGGAAAACCACACTCCACACTGAAACACGGTGATGGCAGCATTATGCTGCTTCTTTCACAGGAACAAGGAAAACAGGACAACTGTGGAGAAAATATAAAAAAGCCTGCAAACAAATGTAGTGAGGCTTCACCTTCAAACACAACAATGAACCTGAAGACCAAAGCATCTATTAGAACGGTCCAGTCAAAGTCCAGATCTTAATCCAAACAAAAATCTGTTGGACTTTTCTGTCCATAAATGCTAACACATGCTCTGTTCAATGAGGTTTTCAGCTGCAGTGAAAGGTTTTTCTATAAACTGCTGATCCCAGCAGCTTTTCAGGTTTCCATTTGTAAAACTGTCCTAACATTTTACAGTCATGCACCACTTTGCATTTATTTATCAAATGAAGTAACCTTGAAGTTGGTAGTGTGACAGGGACACATTGTGAAGAAAACACTGGGCATGAAGACTTTAGCTCAGCCTGTTGTTCAGACTGAACTCCCAAAGATTCAACATTAAATCAGTTTGGATGTAAATGTGAGACATGACTGACACTGAAAGCAAAACATTTCCATCCATTCAGAATAAAAGTACATTTATTATTTGTGATGTAGTTAATAAGAGTGAAATGTAAAATTAATGGCTGCCTTTTCTCAAATTAAGTCTTGTAATCACAAAAAAATCTACATTTTATTTCTGGCACTGTAAATTTCTAAAACCTAAATTATAGATGAGACCATTCAGCTAAACTCTACCTAAATGTGTCTATTTCTCATTTTTACATGATAATTCCTCTCTAGCATTATGCTAAGGCAAATGACTTGTTAATCCTCCTCCTCATCATCATCATCAGATCTTGCTCTTCAAGGAAAATAAATGATTTATGAATCACTTTGTTAGTTTCAGTAACACTTTCACTCCTTCATCCATCCACCTCTCACCAGCTCATTGCCGGGGGCAACATGGGAATCTGTGTCTTGCCCAAGGACATTTCAGCATGTAGTGGAACTAGTTCATTTTTTTATTAAACTTCACAGTTAAAAACGGTAATGTCTTCCTGCAGCCTGGACCAAATGGGAGTTTATGTGACTGAATTCCTCAAGAGCAGGAAGAACAGAACTAATAATTTATGAGTGGAAAGAAGATGGAAAACCTGCTGCAGATAAAATTAACACTTTTCAGTTTGGAGAGAGCTACACAACACCCACACAGATTAACTGATGTTTTTTAGTGACTAACCTTTACTTTAAAGTTCCTCAGTCTGAGCATCCCTCAGAGACCATCCATCTCACTCTGAGGTGACGCCTTCACATCCCAAACCTCGCAGCAGCCCACACTATTTGTCTTTTTGGCTCTAAACAAAGCTCAGGCAATTTAATTTGTCCTTTGGGAGGACAGAGTTACATTATCTTGGGAACTTACTCAGTCCCACTCTGAACAGTTTAACTTTCAGCTTCCAACAAGAAATTAACTTTAAATGTAAACATTTGTAAAAATCCTTTAAAGCAGCAGTATTATGAATTTTTCAGGTACATAGTGCCATTTTATTACAGAATAAAGTAACTGTCACGTTAAATTGTAAAAAATATGCTAAATATATATATATATATATATATATATAAACTCTGCATCTCGATAATGAGATGCAGAGCTGAAAAGACTAAGATTAGTTAATATTGGTTTCTGATGGTTTACTTTGCGACAAAGCTGTCAGGTTTTAATGCCCACTAAAGACTGAGAACCTAAACAAAGTGCATTATTATGCTTTCCATCTCTGGGTCTCTGCCATCCTCTCTCTGCTGTGCTGATCTTTGACCTTTATCGTGACCTGTGGGATATCTTTGCTAACTCCTACTAGAAAAGCTGCATATTAAACAACCACTTAGTGCCTGAGGCTGATCCTCCTATTAGCACATAAAGAGTCAACAGAAAATGTGTATTAGCATTAGATTAAAACCGCTTTGTTCTGCGTCCCGACTGTCAGAAACACAAAGACCTGAATTCTCTCCTGGTACTGAACTAATATGATGATAGACGTTGTAATCTTTGGCTAATTAAATATAAAAGATGATGCAATAGTGAAGGAGGCGGATTCAGAAAATAATCTGGTCAAAGGATTAATTGAAGCATTGCTAATGCTAAAGATGGCATCTTTCAGTGGAGTATATCCATCAGTAACATCAGCTGGGTTTTTATGCACAAAGGGAAATGGTGAAATGAATATGAATGTGATGTGAGTCGTGCTTCAGGACCTGTTTACGGGGTGCAGTGGGTTTAGTGAACTGGTATTTATTGCTTTGTTTTTCTCTTTTAGGAGAATGCCACAACGAATTCCTGTTATTTAGTTTGCTTCAGAGAGGTGGAGGAATCTAATCAAGGACAAGGGAGAAGCCTTCAAGACTATCAACTGGAGTGGAAACAGCTCAGGCGTTTAAAAGCCATCAGGACACCAGCTCCTCACACGTCTAAAGGTTCTGTATCTATCATTGATAACTTTATAAAATGTCCTGTGATGCACATAAAACGTCTACTAACTGATATAATCAGGGGTGCAAAACAGCAAAAAACAAACCGAAAAAGCAGAAGATAGATGCTCATATATTTAAAAGTAAATTAAACAATCATAGTTCCTATTAAAAACAAACAATATGTTAAATATTAAATAGAAGGTAAAAAGAAAAAAAAGCTCTTAAACTGAAAAGTTCATTATATAAAACTAAGTGGCTTAGTTCAGGGTTTAATAAGAAATATAATGTTGTTTCTTGTTTATATAATCCATTCTCTATAAAATAGCAAAGACAAACTTTTTAGCCATAATATTAAAACTTGTTAAATCAACAAAGACCCTGGAAGGACGAGCAGAGATAGAAAACAGATGGATGTTTATGAGCTGGCAGCCACATGTCAGCCTTCACATCTAATGAGTCTGAATTTCGTACCACAAACAAGAAAAAGTGGCATAAAAATAAAAAGCATCCTTGAATCTTAATGCTGAGCTACAAACAATCAAACTGCATTCAGTTTTTTATGTGCTCCTTGTGCCTTTTCAAATCTTTTTGGGCAATAAATGGGATTACTTTTGTTCTGCAGATGTCATCTCAGTGATTTTGTTGCAGCTTTTCAACCTGTTGCTTTGACAAATCTAATCCAGATCTGCAGAGTTTCTAATGTTTCTAATGGGAACCAGCGAGCGCCTCAAAGCCTTCCATGCTTATGGAAGGTGTGTTGAGGAGCATTAAACTTTAATCTGAAATCTGACTGGAAGTGCTTTAAAACTCAATCAAAACTAAATGTGTAAGGCATCTGATGTCTGGGTGTGTTACTGTGTAACAGTAGCATTATGTTTGATCTGATGCTGCAGGTTTAAGGCCGTCACGCTCAAACCGTGATGCCAGCAAATCACAAACCATGCAGCCAAAGGCAACTTCTTTCTACCTGAACGTTCTGCCTGATTGAGCATGGACAAGACAAACTATTCCAGTTAAAATCAGCCTGTCACAGTAAAGACAGCAGACTGAGAGATTTCTTTCTCTAAAGATTTATTTTCATTGTTCAAAATAGGCAGAGCAGGGACAGAACTCTGTATACATGTAATATTAATGGAAAAAGGCTTCAAAGTAAAAATAAAAATCAATTCATTCATGTTTGAGGGGAGTTTAAACAGCTAAAAAAAATCCAGCTGCTAATGAGGTAGAAAATGAACTATTCTGATCCAGCAGTTCTTGATATTTTTGAAAAGCTTGTAGATTAAATACAGTTATTTTATCTTGTTTATCTCTCAGCCTGAGACAACAATAAAACTGATGTTGCCTCTACAGTATAAAATTTTTAAAAAGCAAGATCTTGAGCTCCATTTTTACCAGTTAGTGTTTAGCACCATCTCTGTTGCTAGGCAACAGGACATAAGTCCTGCATCGGCCAGATCCTCAAAGACTGCCACTGGATTGGGACACCCTCCCAAGATATTTGGATCATGTCAGTTATTTAAATTCCTTTTGGGATAAAAAAAAAAGAAAAATTACGTTTGATTTGAATGGAATACTTAAAATTTATTCTGTATCAAACTGAAAACGCTAACTTTAGTATTTAATACCCAATGACCAATCTCTGTAAAAATGCTTCCTACATAATATTTTTGACATTTTGTCGCTTTTTTTTTTCAGACAATTTTATCAATATTTTTTTCTCTCCAATCTGCCATGATGGCAGACACTTTTTTAAAGTTATGTTCTCTGCCTTTCCAACAGTTTGTTGTTCAGGTTTAGCTCAGGTATAACAGCTCTGCAGTCAACAAAGTATAAAAAAGTAGCAACAAAAGAATCTTTCTATTTTGTAAATATCATGTTTTAAGTTTAAATGCAGTTAGATAAGGGTTAGGGTTTGTTCACATTACACAGCACCAAAACCAAAAACACTAAATATTTCAGAAAAGCGTGTTGAATTGAAATGTTGACATTTTTGGATGTGTGAAGTGGCAAATTTGAATATACCCAAAATAACACTGTAACACACAGAGCTACATGGTGTCCACTGCACTGTGCACCATCTGCATGGACCGCAGCAAACAATCCCAGTGAACCTTTCTCCAGTCATCTCCTTTACACCAGAAGAAACGTGAATTATTGAGCATAGTGCTGAGGTGGAACAGCTTGCTACGCTGTTTGGCCCAAAATGGCCAGCAATCCTCCCTGCTTCATGTAGCTGAGCACAGCAGGAAGTCAGATGAAGGTGAAGCACTGAACGTTTTATCAGCTGTCACATATGTCAGAAGTGAAATATGCTGGACTCATTCATGACAAGTTTCCTCAGGGTCTGCATATTACATCCTTGGCAACAATAAAAAATATCTTGAGCACAATCTGTCAGCACGGTGGCATTTCTTATTAGCTCAAACTGAAACGCTACCGTTCAGTTTTAATAAGGTGGTGTGAGAGATCTGATATGGTTGCATATTGTTTTGCAGTTGCCAGCGGTGATTTCTTTACTCACAGGAGGAATGGCTGCTGGGGAAGCTTTTGCGCCCTTCAGACACCATCTCCGGCTCGCCGGTGCACAGCATCTTCGCATTCATTTGACCATCTGGGAAACAGCGCTGGAAGTAATCTGGCCTTGGTCTGAAAAATTAGTTTTCATGTGATTACAATGAGTTAAGAGAACAGCTACTATAAGTCTCAAAATACGGAGTGACTGCAACTTCAACCTGAGCATCATTAGCTGTGTTTCCATTACAAATGTGTGCAAATTCTCATCATTCTCCAACTACTTCCTCTTATTCTTCATGGTTTGTGCCAGTGGAAATATCTGGTTGTTAGTCAAACTTGCAGTTTTCCTAAATAAACCAAAATTGATACGGCCAAAAAAACACCTCATTCTAACATTAAGTTGATGTTTCCCTTATGCAAATCTATTTTCTAAATGTCAAACTGCACAATTATGTTGTGGATGGAAAAGCAGCTACTGACAGCACTGTGAAGTGACTTGTTCAGGATACCTGCCAACAATCAGCTTGATAGTATTTGTGAAGACTCCATTTAATGCGAGTGCCAGGGACACAGCTGAGGACAGAAAGGACAAAGATTAAAACAAATCTTACATTGTCTCATTAAGTAGTAGTACAAACCTCAGTCACAGTTTTATACAAGTTCTGGTCAGTTTTGCACACTTTGTACAAACATGACGTTTAGGTAAAATTAGATCCAGTCATTTAGGAGTTCAGAGTCCAAGCCTCCAGAAATCAGTCGTTCTCAGTAACCAGACCTTCTGTGTGAAGCAAAGCGTAGAACAAGGAGTTGGTTTTTACCAGACTGTCTGTTTCCTGAAAACACTAAAGAGTTGATACGTCTGAGGAAGGCAGTTAACAAGAGAGAACAAAGACATTTATACCCACAAAATCTACATAATGCATTTAGAAGAACTGAAAATGTTGAGTTTCATCATTTTTATAGCTGCTTTATTTTCTTCAGAAAAAAATAAATAAATAAACCTGACTTTGTCATGACAACAGATTATTATTATGTTGTTGTTTTTTGTCTTGGTATAAATGGCTTGCTTCACTGGTAACTGAGGGAAATTTAATGAGTAAACAAAATAGTTTCCTCGTAATGGTTACAGCAGCACTAATAATCCACCTGCTTCAATAAAAGCATCACATTTATGCTTTGTTTTCATGTTGAGTTATGAATCTCCCCTAACATTCACACAGATATTGTCAGTTGAAATCTAATTAACCAAACACCCATCTGTTCTCCAAAATTGTCTGATATTGTTGAAGAAACAAAGTGTGTTCCTTGAGATAACAAATTCATTCATCTTGTTTAAAGAAAACAAAAAGTCGATACCTTGTGAAAAGGAGATGCATCGACTCATTATCACAAGAAAAGCAGCTTTGCTTTGTTGAGACTTCTACGGTGTCAGATTCCCTCTGTTGGTTCATCAGTCTGTGTGTGATGTGTGTGATCTTCACCCCATACAGCTCTGCAAGCTTTCTCACCTGTTTGCATCAACATTTTTAGGGCACTGCAAAAAATCTAACATAGGTTTCTGTCCAGTTCTCATCAGATCATGAAATTTATCACTCTATTATGAAAAAAAAAACACTTTGTTCTCTTGCGCGGGATGTTTATCTTCTTGATGTTCAAAGTATTTCTGTCCCTCTGAGCAACAGATCAGATCCTCATTGAAGGCAGACGAGTCTGAATCTGAATCTGAATCACTCCGAACTGGTTTGAAGTAAAGTTAGCTAATGGCTCAGTGCGTTTAGAAGTACAACGTCGTTTAACTCCGAGATGAACGAATAAAATAAACACAATGTCAAAATTAAAAATCAGTCAGAAACTATAAACACCCCTGTTGCTTTCATGATATTTAAGATGTAAAATTATTCAATTTAACAACAGCAAAAAGTAGGTCTAGAACGATAAATTGTTTTGGGTTATCAATGTTCGACATGGAGAATTACATAAGCTGTGCTGTTTTCCATTGCTTTTTGGAGATGTGATTGAATTCATGCCATCTTTGCTTCTTAAGATTTTATTCTTTATTATTCTGTTAATATTTACAGTGAATACATGTTGGATGGAACATCTGAAAAGTTACAAAAGTCTTATTGCAGCTCAGACATTTAGAGAATGGCAAATTACAAAGGAGTCCAAATGCTAACAATCTTTAATTTAAAGTTATTATGAAGTAGCAGGTCAAATTACTTATTGTTGTTCGATTTTAAACAAATCATTGTTCAGTCACTTTAAACATGGATTTTAAGGCCAGTTAAAGACCTAAGATGTAAAACATTAAACTCTTGCTAATATTACAATTCATGCAGCTTAAAAGAGCGAAAACATGGAAGGGATTTCCCTGAAGACGTGGATTGCCACAGGCAAAATCTGACTGTGAAAGAAATAAATGGCTCATTGTGATGGGAGAGAGGAAACATAATGTTGGTCAGTAGGTCAAATTTGCACTGAAACTGAATGTTCACTTAATTATCTATAAGGAGTCCAGTGGCTCTCATAGTTAGAGGAGAGAACCTGCCCTACATGTTACTCCCAGTGGACTCCAGTGGGACTTAGTTCATCCTGCTCAGACGTCTCGGAGTAAATCCAAGAGTTATCCAGCCTTCTGTTACTTCCTATTGCACAATAATGGATTGGGGACTTTTGCTGAACAAAACCAGCAGTAGTTATAATAACCAGAATGTATTTTATGGTTCCAATGCTGCGGACCTTATTGGAACTGTCTTTGCCTTACTGGTCATAAGTGCGTTCCTAAAACTGTCTGACAGCCTGTGAGCTTGGTTTCATCCTGGTGACTGGAAACCGTGCAGTAGTTGAATGGTTTTAAAGTAAAAATGAATCCTCCTAAATTGCTTCATGGTTCCAGAGCTTTTTATAACTGTCTGCAAATAACAGAGCTGAGGAGAAGCTGGAGTGATTGGCCCGTTCATGAACCCAGACATCCGAACATCTGCTGCATTCATCTTCCCAGTGTATCCAAACGACATTAATCTGTTTGAGAAAATGATCTGTGTCACATTCAGATTGTGTTCAGTTGCCCTTGAGTCTACTGAGTCGGTCCATCCATCCATGCTTTGTTTTAATGAAAAAATAAATATTCTATGTCAGCAATTTTGACATATTTTCCTCATTACTCCGTGGCAGGACATTTTTTACTTTTCATATTTTGTCATTGTCTTTGCAGTCACAGTAACATTTACAGTTTGCCTGAAGCATCTAATTAACAGTGCAAACATTTCCATGTTGCTTTCAGTCAGTCTGCAGGTGAGGATGATGAGGGTTTGCTCTTCTTCTCAGCAGCATTCAGGATTCACTCAGCTTTTCTCCAACATCCACAGCGGTTGAGTCTCATCAGGATTCTCACTCCTGTTACTTTGACGCCGTTCATCTCCTCTGTGCTGAGCTCAGTGGAGAGCTTTTGGATGTAGGAGTCAGATAATCTGTTCCAGGCGTCTGATCAGGATGCCTCAGGGTAGAGGCATTATTTTGAAATCACGCAATAGGAATGCTGTTGGGAACTACTGCATTGACGCCATCCTATGTCCTCCCTTCTTCCTGTTCATCAGTGCTTCCAGGACTGACTGAGACATTTGCTTAATACTGAATGTTTCCCCATGAGGTTTTTGCAGCAGATTGTTTAAAGTCTGTAGGTTTTCATTTTTTTTATTATTTTTTATTTTTGCACCTCTAGCAACTCTCAAACCATTTTGCTCTGTGTGTTTTAATCTGGGCATCCACATGTTGTGAGAGGAAACATGATTCATCAGACCAGATCACTGTCAGCCATTGGCTGTGCTCCAGTTCTTGTTTTCATGCTTCCATTGCTGTTTTTTAGCAATAGAAAGTGGTCAACATGCCCAAGCTGACTGATCTGTTGCTATGCAACCCCATAGCTAAGGTCTAATGTCCATTTTGACACCTTCAGATCAGAAGTAGCATGAACTTTCCCTACAGTTTCAGCTCCAGCGGCTCGTCTGTTGGATCAGACCAAATGCAGCAGCATCAGTAACCCTTGGCTGCTCATCCCCTGCTGTCTGTTCGTTCCCTCCATGAACCACTTCTGGTCGACTTTGGCCTCTGGAGACCTGCTACATCCCACAAGAGCTGCATTGTGGAAATGTTCTGATCCAGTCATTCAGTCATCACAATTTCAAACCTGGAAAACTTCTGAAATCCTTACACTGCTCCATTTTCCTGATCAAAAAAAAGAAGAGGGAAAATGCCTGATATTGCCCACTACCTGTAATGAAGAAATCTGTTCACCTGTCAGTGGTCATAATGTTATGCATGATCAGTGTACTCATTATGGAGAGAAAATTATCTAAATCAAGAAAGGTTTTATTAAAATAAAGCTGTAGAATTGACAAATGAGTCCAAACATGAAAAGACCACAAACACTCCCCCACATAAAGCGAACAGTAGCATCGCTCTGTGATATCACATTACCAGGATGGAAAACAGTGTTTCAACTTTATAATCACGATTAAAGTCAGCGCTCCGGAATCATCTTTGACTCATTCTCAGTGAGTAGTCTGGTGGGAAATATGACCCTCAGATGGCTTCATTATATTCTGACTCAGAGATAATCGCGTAATTAAGCGGCGTGACTTCTGGAATGATAAAAGATTATTAGACGACTTTTCAAAACGTTTTCCTTTCTACCATGAAGTAGAATACGGAGCGTGGCAGAAAGCAATGTACCACACAATATATGCCCATATATCAGCAAAAGTAAAGAGCATAAACTTACCAAGCATAATCTATTTAAACCTAATTATGTCCTGTAATCTTGTTTGCGTTTCTGAAGTAGAGAGCCCTGGGGGATACTTTCCAAAGTGATACATTTGGAACTGCAATGTGAAAGCTTCTGACATGAAAAATTAATATGTCTGTCAATGTTTTAAAAATAAACAACTTTACACCAATCTGAGTAATTAATTTAATATTTTTCTGTGTCATTTTAGAGATAGTTTCTTAATGCCATCCTCAGAACTCGGATCTGTCTGACATCTGTCATAAAATGCAGAACAGTCTTCCTTCCTTTAGTTCTTTGTTCTCCTGAGTTTCACAGTTTTCTAAACTGGTTTGCAGAAGTCCTTCTCTGCAGGCGGTGAGGGGCTCGTTAAATTCTCCACTGCAATGTAATCTCTGCTGCACTGAGCCACTCGCTTTCCACCTGATTCATCACTGTGTGTCTCTTTAATTGGATTTGTGTTAAACTTTCTTAATGCCTTGCAGCGCCGATGCCTTTTTCTGGCACTCAACCTCAAGGGAAAGTAGGAAAAAATGTGTGTGAAACCACTGGGTCCTGGTAGAGAATGAAAGAAGATGCTTTAAATTGATAATAAGTAAATACTTGGCTAAGAGCAATATTCATGGTGGCATATTGACAGACACACGAGGTCATAGAGTTTAAAGATCAGCGCCATAATGACTAATGAACTCCTTACATTTGGCTAGATCGCTTCAGGCAGAGGAAGGAAAAAGATATTGAGCTGAAAGAAATTCTAACAAAATTTGTTCATTGCTGAAGCATAAAAAATCAAATAAAGCGTGGGCAGAAACTTTTGTATAATACATATGCTGTTACTAATACAGACCAAATCATTCACATTCCAAGGCTTCTAAATTTCATGTAAGTGTAGCAGGGAATGCATTTAGGAAAAACATTTTGTTGTCATGCAAAGAAAAACATTTTCAGCACTTTAATCATGAGAACTGAAGGGAAGATTTTCACGCACCTAAACAAGCCTCCTTGATCTCCGTCTTGTCCGTTCTCTGAATTATCTTCACCACGAATATCACTGCCAGTGGAGTAAGGAAAGAAATTGCCTGTAAGGAAATAAGACAGAACAACAAAATGGTAATAATTACAGTGATTTTAGGGCTCCAGGGGATCTGTTCAACACGAAAACACTCCTGCATTAACTTGTGACCTGAACCTGTCAAAACTGAAAAACCCAACAACTGATTTTATTGTTCAGTGGCTCTTCCAACCAGCACTCAGAGTTTCTGTCTAATTTGAGCTCAGAGGTAATAACTGTTGCCACAGAAAGTATTAATTAAATCCAGAATGAAATTGTTTTATGTTTCTGCCCTAAGCAACAGCTGATTTAGAGATAAGATTCTCCAAATCTTCATGGCTTTAACACAGAAACTGCAGTGTGTGGCAGAAGCAAGTAAAGAGACTATGAAATTTGCACCTAGTCAACACAATACACACACATACACACGCATACACACACATACACACACATACACACGCATACACACGCATACACACCCCCACACACACACACACACACACACATACACATACACACACATACACACAAATAATCCAAACGGTTGAAAGAACGTAAGTTCCTAATCTTAATGGCTTGTCTACTTCGATGTCAGATGATGTCACTGTAGAAATATGCTGTTGTAGTATTATTATCAGTAATATTAGGAGAAGGTGAAGGAATCTTGTTTGGAGAAAAACTGCTCTGACATATGGAGGCAACTATAGGTTATTATTTTATGTCCTCCGTTTAACAGCCTCTTTAATTGGTTTGCTTCGACCTTTAGAGATTATGGATAAAAAACATCCCATCAGAGTAAATCTTTATTTGAAACTTGTAAAATACAGCCGGTGTTTATGTGAAACCATGTGACCTTATAGCCAAACGTAAGTTTATTAAATCCATTAGTGAAGAAACAATTATCTGGTTGTTTGTGAAATCTCATTAGTAATGATGAGGTTTCCAGTCGTAGTGATCATTATGTGTTTAGCAGAAAAATTAGGATATCTATATTCACAAATTATTTACGTTTAAAATCAACTTATTGGCTAAAATATTCCTGCAGTCTTGCATGTCTTCCAGATTTACAGGAGTAAAGAAAAAACCTCCTGCCACTTCTCACACTTGGAATATGCAGGAGTGACACTTGGAGCTGCCCTCCGGCCTCTACAACATTCATTATGAAGGTCACAGTGAGCCGTACTGTAGCATCATGTAAATCTTATCCATGCACTCATAGTAATAGTTAGATAACTTCTCCAGACCTTCAGGGCTGCTGTCAGAGTGGAAGTACTACAAAATGTCTGACAGGACAGATTATTTCCCCAGAAGACATGTAGCTAGGGAATAAGGGACTTTCTTTCAATTCCCGATTGATGGAAATGTCTTTCCCAAAGATTTATTGATACCCCAGCTAATAAAAACTGTCAATATTCAAAGAGAAACAGAATAATAGAGCAGAGCTAAACAGTTTGTGTTGAGGCCCATTCAGCTCTCCAGATCAATTGTCAGCTTGGAGAATTTGGCATTCATGCTTCTTGACTGGCTGCCAGAGATATAAATGACTAATGCAGTTTGAAATGCTTACAAAATTACTCATCAAATCTATCTGGCAATTAGTCACTTTGAGCTCCACCAAACAGATTGTAATTATGCTTTGACCTCTTTACTCACGCGACACTGGTTGGTCTGGCAGAAACAGACATGGTAAAAACATGCAAATACTAGATTCTAACTGCTAAGTATGCTGTTTTTAAATATAGAATGTATTTTATACACTAAGCTGTCATATGTCTGCTTGAAATGACTTCCTGTCACCGGCTCCTCAGCAGTTTAAAGGCGTCATGTGAGTGATGAGTGAGGAGTTCAGGGATCGAAGAGCCAGTCCCTCAAACTCAAACAGTTCACAATGAAGTGAGATAAATAAGCAGTCATTTTAAGCAGTTGTTTAAAATTATTTTTGCTTCATTTTATATTTTATATAAGTTAAAATCCAGTGCAACCAGACAGTCTCTTCACAGGAACTGAAATATCCAACATCACATTTAAATAGACATTTTGACTTGAGTAGAGGAAGAAAAGCTTTGAGACGCCACAAAAACTGAAAACGCACAGCGTCTTGTTGCCTGTAGGCATTTTTGCCAGCTGTTACAAATTCACTTCCCGGGAGAAAATGGAGTGTCTGACTAAAACTAAACATTTCTTCCAATGCCACAATGTTTGGCAGAAAACTAGACTTGAGGACAGTTATATCAACACAAAGAAGCTGATGTAAGAGTTGGAAGTTTTTCTTGTTCATTAAAATCTGGGATAGTTTTTACAAGCCTCAAAAATTATAGCATTAATCAAAGCAGCAGTCAGGAGACACCTCTGGAGGAGCTCCAGATATCTTCAGCTCAGGTGGAAGAATCTCTGAATGAAAATGGTAAAAGTTGCCCAGAACCAAAATACTAAGTTTAAGGCCTACAAACTGCTGGTTCCTGGAAAAATAACGCATTGCGCTGCAATTCTTATTGCACTTTTGAACTACTGGATAGATTTTCTGTCTCTCTTAACACACCATTCAAGTCATGAAACATGGTGGTGGCAGTGTCATGATGTGGGGATGATTTTCTTTAGCATGTGCAGTAACACTGGAGTCTGTCCTGTTCTTCAGGTGGTAGAAGACTGACTTTGTAATTGTCTTTATGTGTCTCTGAAGAGCCCAGCCCCTCACTGCCCCCAGGCTTTTGGGCCTGATCTGGGTGAATTAAAACTGTAAAAATACTTTCATTACTAATTAAAAGAAAGATAGCTGCCATGGGAACAGTTCCCTGACTGGTACACAAACAAACTCTGGAAATGAAAGTCAGTCTCTGAGCACCAATGATAAATAGATGGTGAGCGTTATAATATCCAATCATTAAAACAAATAAAGAAAATTCAGAGGAAGACTACTCTTTCTTTTGAGATGTGTAATGTACTTACAAACATAACCCTTTTAGGAATGTGGTCCGACTCAACCAGAGGATTCCTGTAGAGCCACAGCTCCTCCGGTTGGATAACTCTCTCAAAGGGCTCCAAGAACTCCGTAAACCTGCAAAGAAAAACACAGCAGAGTTTAGTTCTTACCATCTAACGGTTTGGTTTTTAGCTGCTAAAACAAAAAAAGACTTTTCATATATTATCTGTCCTCTGATTGGATTCAGTACCACACAGAAAAGGGTCTCTTAGTTTATTTTATTTTTTATTTTTGTGCTGTCCAAGAAAAGTTCAGGACTTTGCCTGACATCCCCTGCTGCCTTCTTGCACACTGCGTGTGAAAGAACAAATTAGTATTCTGCTGCTTTCTCCGTCCCTCCGTGGCCAGTCGGTGGTCTGTCCCACACAACCTTGTTCTTTGTCATTTTAACAAGGTCTTTTGTCACTATGGTCTAAAACAGTTCAATGCCCTCCTCTCCTTTGAAAAGAGCTCCAAGATAACTCCAAGGGCTTTAAAAACAAAAGGCTTTGAATATGCTGAATATGGTGATTTAATGAGTTTTCTTCCTAAATAATGCAAACATCAGAGGGCATGTTGATGAATGTGTGAATTTTGTTCCTTTGTAGTTTCTTGGCAAGTGTAAAAGTCAGAAAATGTTCAAACATTTATGAATAAAGGGCAATTATTTATGGTATGTTTTAAGAATCTAGTTTTTGACTGTAGCACCTGCCCTCCTTTTCTTTGAAACACATGGATTAAAATAAACTGAAATTATAACAAATTACTCTTGCTGTATGATCCTGAACTTTGGGGAGATTTTGTGGTTGTTTCTAGTGTTTAAAGGGAACTACCTGGTTACATCAGCATCAAGGTGTTTCTCAGTGGACAACAGTTTGACACACATAATAAACATATAAGCTGAAAATGCTTAAAATACCTGCAGACCACTCTGGACCACTCAGGTCTATTCTGCAAATCCAGAATCAGAACCAAACGTGGAGAAGAAGCTTTCAGTTTCCGTTTCACTAAAATGAATCAAACATCCAGAAAGCTGCAGAAATACTGAGTTAATTTAAACCAAGGCTAAATACCCATTTAGAGCGGACTTTGATTAATAAGTACTGGAGCAGGATAAAGAGTAGCCCACATTCCTAATACAATGTAATGTTTTAGATTGTTTGTTGTTTTATTTCCTCCTAATCACATAAAGCACTTTGAATTGATTTGTTGTTTGCTATGCAGATGAAATTACTTTGCTTGCCTATAATCACTTTGCAGAAACTTTGTGCCTTCATTCTCCTTTGTTTCTTTGTTACACATTTTACAATAATTCTGGATTTCTGATATTAATACGACCATTATGAGTTACAAAACCTTAACAAAGCTGAAAGCAAAAACTTGGTAAATGTCTTTCAATGTTTCATCACAAAGACCAGAATTCAAAAAAGTGGAGGCAGCTGTAACTTTTTCCTTTTCAATAACTTCCTTGATACTAAATGTGATATTAAGCAAGGAGAAACTGGAATCAACAACTTCATAAGTTCACAATTTATAAACAAACAAAAACAGGATAAAATAGTTTGAAACCACAGCCTTTTGATTTTTAAAACTGAATGTGTTTTTGTCATAACTTTCAATAATTCATACTCAAAAGAAGAATATATATAAAATTAATTTCAAGAGAAAAATGTTCAGAAGTGGTTTACCAAAAAATGTCTAAAATACATGATCACATAACGAGTTAAATGTTAAGCTAAATTTACATTTTATAGATAAACTAATTATAAAAAAATAACCAAAACATAAAACACTGCAGCTTAAAGCTGAAGGACTGGCTGTGCAGGTCACTGTGAGGATAAACTGTAGAAATTCAGCAGGAAGAGGGAATCAATTATCCAAAACTTCAACATGTCCTTCACATCCAGCTGTGTAAAACAAACAGTTAGCATTGGCTAAATATGATGAGTCTCCTTTAGGTCTCTCCAAAGTGATTGTTCAACAGAATTTCTTGTTTTTCCTCTTAGTATTTTTCACCCAAACACAGAGCCTGTGAGAAGTCAGCTTGACAAGAGACTGGAAATATGAAGAGTTCTGCACATCAGGCAGAGGCTGTGAAAAAACTATCGGTTGGTTTGGTGATAGCTGCATGTCAAGATGTCGCTACAAAGGAGAAGCCTTATGTTTCTGATTCAGCTCAGCGGTGCTGCCTTCTCTGGAAGGGGCATGCATTAAACCCCACCCTGCGAACAACGTGCCGCATGCTTCATGAAATAATCCAACTTTTTTCTGTCATCTCTGTCATGTTCAGGCATCAGCGGTTGAAAGAGTTATTTTGGTTCCTGGGGACTAATGCAGGGAAACGGAGCGCAGACAGATAAAGTCAGCTCAGACCCCAGCCTCAACTTTTAGGTCATTACATGCAGCGATGATCCACCTGTCAGCCTGGAAGGCTTATCTCACATCCAGCCCACATCCTAATTAGTTTGAGACACACACTCCCCCAAGGTATCAGCTGCAGGCAGATCATTTTTCATGGGTGTTGTTGGACTGCATGGGGTGTTTGAGTTTATTTATAATGCATATTCTTTGTTTATTTGTGTGTTATATGATTGGATGGCAGAGACGGAGCAACATCATCCAAAAATTGTATTTTACAGAAGTGGACGTATTTAAACATGCAGGAAAACATTTCACATGGAGAAGGTTTCTCCATGTGTTACATATTATTACACATGATCATTTCTGCATCTGAAACGTGGTGAAATGTTTCACATGTCACAGTTTCCACATCTGAAAGTTAATCCCATGTCAAGTGTTTATTCACATGTTGAAATATTGTTTTGTTTCCCATGTATTTGCCTGATAAAACTTATTTGACATGTAGAAGATGCCATCAAGTTACTACACTATAATTTTTACATGTCAAATCTGTCAGAAACAATTTTAAATATTTTCAACCATAAAAAATGACCCAAAATAATTTCCACATGTAAAACCTGTTTACTGCACAACCTAATTCCTATGTCCAACATTTACTTAGAAGAAAACTTCACATCTAAAATGTTTTCCACATTTTTTTCAAATATTACTAGTTGCCACCTGTGAACATGTGTTTACATACTATCACACTCTATACCTGGCACATGACCTACATTTTTATATTTCTAAACAATATACTGATGTTCACATTGGTAACATGGGTTAAACTATGACTTCATAAAAACTCAAGTTTTTGTGACTTGTTAAAAGCAGACAAGACAGTTGTACTAATGTTTGCTTAAAATTATATTCCCCTTTTGAAAGTTATTGGAGAAATACATGTTGACCTACAACAATCAGAGGACAAAGTAAGAATGTGAAACGAAGGTTAATGTCTGCTGTGCAGTGGAGCTCAGAGGGAGGAGGAGTTTCTGGTAATTAGCCTGTTGGATGTTCAACGTCAGCATGAATGCATAAGCATTTGTGACAATTTACTGGGTGAATGAGAATGAGACTCTGATTGTTAGAGCGCTGACTAGAGAAGCACTAATTAAGTTCAGTCTAATGCATTATGTATGACTTCAACATCAGCATCACAACTAATTCCAGGACTGAAATGTTCGGCTTTCAGAATTTATAGCATAGAGATGTTCCAAAAAAACATTTTCTGAGTGTAGAACCGGATTTGAACGGCTGTCACATTTGATTTTTATATGTAAGACATAAAATGACATAATATGACTGTTATTAAGCACAATAAACATGTATGTTTTATTCATAAAGAAATAAAACAGGAACAGATAACACTGAATATCTTTGTTTTTTTAGTCCTTAGAAAATATTTTCACCTTTTCATGGCTGATCACTCTAATTAAATGAAAATGAAAATCATTTTTGTCTAAAAGTCTTTTAATATTATGAATTATGTGTCACATTAGTGCCAAAGTCGCTGTTAAAAGCCTTGTCTTTTTATTCCTTTGCAGAAATGATGATTTTCAGTTTGGCTGAGGGACATTTTAAAGGTCCAGGTCCGAGTGATGTTGCTTAAATTAATCCAAAGCATCTTTTAAGATGCCAAAGTTAAAAATGTATTTGTTAATACCAGGGTTTTTACTGAAATGAGGCTGAAAGGCAGACAGTAATGCATCAGCTGGAGAACAGAAGATTTATTTTGTTTGCATAATTAAAATGGGAAAAATGTTGATTGCAGTCCCATTAGTAGAGTCTGTAGAGGTAATAAGTTACACAGCATGTGTGTCAATTTTTCCTGCTGGGAAATAATTGTAATTATCCTAAAAAAGAGACAGACAGGGAGGAGCAGGCTGAGTTTTAGAAGCAGCAATTTACCCGTTCAGAGCAACAACAATATGTAAAGTTTACAGATGGAAGAGATCCTCACTGGGGGCTTTATGGCTTTTGTTTATGATATATTTGTTATTAAATTTGTCCCTCTATGTGGTGTAAACAGGAAGCTGTGAAAGCCAGTGTTACCTTAAGCTGTAAACCCAGAGGGGAGCACAACTAAACACAACAGAGCCGTGATAAAAGCTACTGCAGTGTGAAAATCCATCAGAGGGAGAGCAGGAAGGCTTTCCCTCAAAGGCAGACTAATCAGCCGCCGTATCGCCTACTGTTAGTTCATGTTGACTCTATGTGAAACAGAGATGTGCTTTTCCTGGAATACATGTGGTTGGGATTTGTCAGTCCTATTTGTAATGATTTCTGGAAATGTTCTAACATCATCAGCCATTCCATTCGACAAACAAAATACTTTCATTTCTACTTTTTTAAGGGAAATTATCTGGATTAAGTCATATATTTTATGAAAAATGCAGTGTGTTGTGTTACAGAAAGTGCACTCAGTGATTGTCAGCTGCTGTGGTGTACCACAGGGGTGAGTGTTGGGACTATTACTTTTTAGCTTATTTATTAGTGATTCAGCAGAATGTTGCTAATCAAGTGTAAGCTGCTATTGCTA